ACAGGATTCCACACCTCCCACCCCCGTGTCCCCTACTCTGTCCACCCTGTGCTGGGTATGGGAATTCCTCCTCCTTCCCTCCTGTTCTAACCCCTCTTCTGAGGCAGTGAGGCACTGGAAGGGGAGGGACTGTTCCCCTTCCCTTCCCTGGTTGGACTCACTGATCTGGGTTTGTTTCAAATATCACATGAAGCCACGGAGCCTGATACAATGCAGTTGCTGCTTACCTGGTGTGGATAAAAGAGGGCCTTCCTGCTACAGCCCCGTGTATAAATACCCCCATCCCTTCAGTCCCCTGTGCGGAAGGGAGGAAGTCCTCTCCCATCTGGAGCAGTGGACTGCTTCTTTGGTGGAGCAGGTAAACCTCAGGGGGGCCTTTAAGTGGCAACAAATGACCATTTTCCTATCAGCCTGCTGAAATGACCACGCTTGTGGCAACTCACTTTCTCCATTAAGCCACACAAAGGCCGCACTACTTAATATGCAGTGAGGGCATTTCCACCTGTTGGAATAATCCAAGATATTTTTCCTCTCTCTGGCATCTGTGCAGAGAATACCATATTTGATAAATATACTCTACAGCAGAACAGAAACACAAACTTAGAAATCTACTGTTTAGGATATTCAACAAATTGTCACTGCCCTTGACTCGGAAGTTCAGCAAGTTAATCCAAGATTGCTTGTAAACAGCTTTTTATTTGCCTGGGTAGATTGCACAAAATATCTGTGGATTCTAATTTTTAATATCTTGCAAAAAAGAGCAAGACGGAATTATTCATAAACTTATTTATAAATAGATCATTTAGCACCAAAAGCAGCAAATACTTATCAGAGGACAGAATTTAGCTTTATAGATGTATGAATGTTCCTTATAAAACTCAGTTTTACTGCATTACTTATTCAGTTTTCCATTTGGGTTACTGCTGAATGATAAAAAGACACTCCATATTCCAGACACTGGTTCCAGTTTCTGTAGTACTTTTAACTTATGTTAAAACTAAGGTGCGAGGTGCCGCGGTGGAGTTCACCATGGTGGCACTGATTGACACTGCATCTTAAAGTAGCCATGGCAAGTCTCTCCAGGCATTCAGTGAACTTCCCCAGGGCTGAGTGCCAGGCAGTGGGATGCAGTATTGCCAACCTCAAGAGATCAAAAATCATGAGTTGGAGCCCCCCCAAACAACACGATTAGCCCCATACATTGGGAGATTTTGAAAACATCAAACCATGTTATTTTGGTCTCTAAACTAAGGAGTGAGACACAGGTTGGGGATGGGAAAGTTAGCCTTAATTATCACAGTGCATTGGAATTCTTTTTTTGTATCAAGTTAGAGGCTACTGGTCATCTGACTTCTGCAGATTAAACAGTGAGGGCTAGATCCTACTTTACTGAGGATAATGGAAGAACACCCAGTGGCTTTACTGAGAGCAGGATTGTACACAGAACTGAATGTGACAACTCCCTACATCATCACTCTCTTTTATTGGTCAGTTCTCCAATAATGAGCAATAATGTGTTCACTGTTATTGAGCATTAGCACGAACATTTAATTCTCATCATGACCCAGTGAAGTATTCTCAATTTTAATCGTGGTGGGGGTGGAGGGGAAAATAAAGTTAGTAATATGCCCTGAAGTTCTACACCCAATCCCATAAACTGTTCAGCTTGCTAGTATCCTGGAAGTGTTCAACGTGAGTAAGGCACACTCCTTTCCTTTAGAATAGGATCACTCATTTCTGCAATTAAAAAGTGTTTCACCCATGTGTCTGGTTAGCTGCCACTTTCTCTGATGCTAACTCTGATAGCTGATACTATAACAAAATCACTAGCATTTTTATTTTTCTCCATTTTTATAACATTTGGGAACATGCTAGATGAGCTGCAACTAGAGATTAAATCAATCTGTCCACAATAAACAGTATAAACTATATTTCTCTGCCTTAATTTTTTTACTTACTAGCCTCATGATATAGATTTTCCTTTTATTAAAGAAAAGGATCAGTTACTAGAATGTGAAAATATCACTGTATAAACAGAGTACAGCTGTTGTGGGTTTGAATAGGTTTTAAAATCTCTGCTTAAAACTGGGAGCCTAATTCTTCACTATTTTGCAGAGACTGCATTGCATTATGATGTGTAGCCTTTTACATCTGTGCAAAAAAATTCTGAGATGCTATCAAATCAGAATTTGTTCCTACCCACTTTGCACAGGTGTAAATGACTATGCTGGGTATCAGGTAGTGGAGGTTAAACAAACAATGGTTATGACCAACTCTTTATGCAGAATTTGAAGCATCAGAGAAAGGGATGCAAACAGCAGAACATCCAAGCCAATGTCTTTTTACAAATGTCTTCTTACGAAGTAAGCGTTGGGATGGTTACACACACTCTTTTTGAAGTGCCACTGCTATGTTGTCCACTGTTTCCCCAGCCATAGTTTCCAAGTTTTGGATGGTTTGATGGATGTGTGCTTCCTGGGGCTCAGCAAGAGGTGATGCGAGGTGCCACGGTGGAGTTCACCATGGTGGCACTGAATGACACTGCATCTTAAAGCAGCCATGACAAGTCTCTCCAGGCATTCAGTGAACTTCCCCAGGGCTGAGTGTCAGGCAGTGGGATGCAGTATTGCCAACCTCAAGAGATCAAAAATCATGAGTTGGAGCCCCCCCAAACAACACGATTAGCCCCATACATTGGGAGATTTTGAAAACATCAAACCATGTTATTTTGGTCTCTCATTTGACTTTTTAACTGCCCTTTACAGTTCTTCCAATGTGTCTGATAATTTCAGGTTGAAAATCAACCTTTAATGCACACAAAAATGCATGCCTCTTTCTAGTTGCTCAAATGGGAACTCCACTTACCTTCTTGCCACCCCTAATATAAGCGAACTGCCATCCATTTCCCATGACTGTCCTAGGGTTACCGTATTTAAACATTAAAAAAAGAGGACACTCTACGGGGCGCTGGCCCCACCCCTTCCCCACCCCCAACCCTGCCCCAACTCCACCCCCTCCTCTGAGCGCCCCGCATTCCCCCTTCTTCCTCCCAGCCACG